TGATTATTGGGAAAGGTAAATCATTTTCTCAGTATCCTAGAGAGCATTCATTACCAACTGGCATTTTTACCTTCTCGTACTTCAAAACTGAAATTTATTTGATATTGAGCCACCATTTATGTAGGAAAGTAGGACACACTTGCTTACCAAATGTTAGTGTATATAAACTGTTACAAACTCGAATACATGTGGTATCCTAGGTTAAACCCACGGTAAACTAATACGTGCAGCAAAAATGTGCACAGGGCTTTTTATTGTAGAATTAATTCAGTCAACTTCAAGTGCTTTACTCTCAAAAGTAGAAAATACATATGCCATTTTACATAAACATTAATTTTGAGAAAATGGTAAATGAACACAGTTGGTTTGGGTGTTTTTGACATGAAAAAATAAAACTCTCATACTAAAGAAATTACTTTTACAGAATGTAGTTCTATATTTAAATGATTTATAACCATGAACTCCAATGATAGCATTTACAAAACTATGTCAACTCAATAAGGAAGGATATAAAAAAAATATGTGCTTAGAGTACACTGTGTATGAGTCAACTAAATATGGCATTTAAAACACATACATTCTGGAAATAAGAATTAGAATGAAGATGTTCATCGCAATTCTATGAATATACTATGAATTAAATACAAATTATATGCATATTTCACTTATTCAGCATGTATAAAAAGTATGAGCTTTAGAAGAAAATCAACTGAGTCATTCAATGAATAGAGATAGCTAAAAGATATAAAAACATTGTAGACAACTATTTTGTTGCTCTGACAAAAGAAGAGAATTATAAATGGTGTTATACAAGGCTACAAATCAAGATAAATTAGTGGTACTTAGAGGTACTTATTGCATAGGTTAGGACTGGTGTAACAAAATTGAAATACGTAAATTCCAGGGAAATTTATGTCATGCTTTTTTTTTTTTTTTGCCCTAAGAGATGGCTGGCTGATGAATAATTATATATGCGTGGTTAAGACTGAAAGAAATTACTGTTCGATTAAGTTCTATATATATTCCTCCTCTGAAGTATAACTTCCTGACCTCAAAGCAAAAAGTCTGTTAGTTCAGATGACATGAAATGGGCAAAGATACAAGTTTATTTTGAAGGATGGACATTCTGACAGGTGCAACAATTTTACTATAGGAATAAAAGGACAAAAATCAAATATACTCTTGAAAATAATGTAGGATAACATAAAGGCCAGATTGTGCCTAAGTTTAATCCTACTTAATTGGTTGTATAACTGTGAGCAAGTTATTTTCTCTTTAATAGCACTCACCTTCATAGGCTTGTTATAAGGATTAAATGTGTTATTACACAGAAATTCTTCAGAATAGTAACTAACATGTGCTGTGTTCAGTAATACATAGGTTAAAGGCACATGTGACAGTAACTTCAGATATCACTTAAAATTGGCTTACACGTCATCAAAAAATGGAAGACAATTGGTTAGTCATCTGCAATGCCATGGTTCCTTGATTCTAAAAACCTATTGATTATAACAATGCACATTGATTTAAAGCTACTATGGATGAGGGCCTCAGAGGCGCGACACCCGAAGCTCCTCCATGGGAAGCTAAGAGTCCCACAGAACATAATCTAAAACCATATGATCACAATCAGGGTCATTTCAGGTTTGATAACCTAGAAATAACTCAAAGCATCATTAGGAAGTTGTTACAACACATATACTAAAAATTATACAAATGAAAAAAGTTTCCTAACTCAGGCAACTTAAGAGATTTATCAGTACCACTTTGGCCTTTCCCATATTTCCCTACCTAGACATATTTCTGTCATATGCCAAATGCTATTTATTAAAACACAAGAACTTTATTAGTTAGGAAAAACCAATACAATTACATTGCTTGGTTTCTATGGCTATAAGCCAATAAGTATATCTGCTGATAAAGCTAATCAGGTCTATGATAATAGGAAATGAGGCAAAGTACCAACTGTTTATTGCTGCTTTTTAATTCTCTATTATTTGAAGCAGCAAAAAAATTGTTATTTTCAAGAGTGAATTCATCAAGAACCTGTTTTATCCAATTAGGCTAGATATCTCTACTTAAACATGGAATATTCACTATAACGAAAGGGCAGTTTAATGAGTCTCGTAAAAACATATATTGTAACAGAAAAGGACAATAGCCTGTTAAGAATTTCTCCCAGAGAAAATATTTCTTATATACAAGTGAAAATAAAATGGGGCCTAACATTTATATAAATAGAAGTAAAATTTTTTAAAAAGTCTTTTAATGGTTGACTGTATCAGTATATGGTTCAAAATATAGAAATAGGCATGCTATTTCTTTGGTATTACATGTAGGAGAAATATACTACTACTCAACCTCTACTGTAAGGTTGGCAGCCCTGAGAACTCCTTTTTTTAATGTAGCATGTAATGGATGTATTCCTGCTCCCCAAAGAATGAGGAGCAGACTTTTCCACATGCAACCTACTTTCTTCACAACAACATCAGACAAGCATAAATATTCTATTCTACTATGTGATTGTTTTTATAATGAAATAAACAGTTAAATATCTTATTAGGTAGATGTTATGTATTATATTACAATACCAAGCAACACATCAACGAGGATGTTTACTGGTTTCCACCATATGCTTTAAGTCAATAGTCAGGGGTTGCAGAAAAAGGGAAGGAAGAAATAAAACAATGTGGTTGGGTGGAAAGGCTTCACGCACAGCTAAGCAACAAGTAAGATTATACAACTTCACAAAGGGACAATGTACTATATAATTTCAAAAAATGGACAAAGTGAGTGAAGACTAAGTGCAAGAGGACTTCAGAGAAAAAAACGTGGTGAAAAGTCAATGTTTACAAAGGAAGAGGGGCATTGTCATAAAAACTGATGGATAAATAACATCAGTAGGTTAAATAAAATCCCTCAGGCTAATAGCAACAGATGATCAGTTTATTAGAACAGGATTAGGGATTTTTAATATTCAAACTCGTTAAAGGTTCTATTTATTCCTTTATACATGTTTGAACAACCCTAGGAAATAAAAAGGAAGAAATGGTAACAAAAGCCAAATAATTTAGATGACAGAATGTCTGAATAAATGCTAATTATGTCCTCAAAGATAGCATGGAGGTGAAGGAGAGAAGCAGAAATTATTATTCTCATAGCTGACTATATCACCTTGCCTCTTATAGATTTTTATTAGTGGAAAAACAGAATTTGATGTTGCAGGATCCTTATTTGGCCCAATATAGGTGCTGGAGATAATTATTCCTATGTGCAGTGTTCTTTCATTCTTTTATTTCTTAAAATGATTAAGAGGTATAGGTTTTTATTAAGAAAGGATTAAGATAATTTTTCATAGAAATTAATAAATATGCAAGGTGAAGAAAATTTACATAGCTTCCACCACATAGTCTCTGTTTTTTTATATACTTTTCCTTTTGGTTGAATTCAACATGTATTTTTGTGTTATGAAGTGGCACTTTAAAATTTTAATTCTGTGTGGTATCATACTGAGCTCAAATTTTTTCAGGGTGTGAACATATAATATAAGAGATGTGTCAAGCCCAAGACTTAATTTTTATTACTGCTTTATGTAAGCTAAATAAATTTCTCCAAAGATATTTGCTTTCTGATACTAATAGGGAGCCCATATGATTAGAGCAGTCTTGGACTGGAGAGGGAAATGTCTACATTATATTTTTATGGACACAGTGCTTGCAAACTGTTTTATGCTTCAAAAACATGACAACCAACTTTTGTTTTTTTTTTAATAACCAACTTTACTAATTATTGCATAAAAAATTAAGGCCAAACACTATCTTTGAAAGTGTTAAACTGTATTTCTAATCCCAGAAAAAAACCTGTCGTATCTTTTTAAGTATACTTTTTATTGACACATGTCCGGTCCCTTCTGATATTTATCTTTTTATTTATTAAGATTCTGTGCATACAAAGTTTTCAGATTTAAAAATAGAGGGAGAATGTAAAAAGTTATTACAAAACTAAGTTACATATAGGAATTAGATTATTTAATGACTTTTATGGTAATTTACCTTCAATGTCTATAGGACCTAATTTGGGTGATTAGATATCATTAGTAACATACCCAGTTTTATTTTTGTCCAGGAGGCTGGGTGCCAAGGATCGGATATAAGCACAGGTACATATAAGCAGCAAGATTACAGTCAACAGACTCTGAAAATTGAAAATGGCAGACTAAAAAGAGAAAAAGAAAAATTAATATCACAAGAAAAACAGCATAGGTAAAAACTGCTAGACAATTCTATATTAAGAATCATACTTTTGTTCTTCTCAAAGACAAACAGAATGGCATGTCTGAGAACACTTAAAACCCCAAATCATAAGGTATTCCAAGAGTGTACTTTCCTCTCCATTCTTTGGGCTAAGGAATGCAGAAGATGCAACAAAAATTCTAAATTCGAGAACTTGAAAACACTACCAAAAATGTCATGAATCTAAAATATCTCACCAAAACTGAATCAATATGTAATTAATACAGATGTTCTAGGAGCCCAGACTACTAGGTAGGACATAAAGTTTACAGGCTCTGAGCATAGCTGGCCGTATGACTTCAGCTGAACCATTAACCTCAGTCTCTCTTTCACATCCGTAAAACTGGGTGGAGAATGGGGATATAGACTAAATGTTGGCTAAGGTTTCTTTCAATTCTGAAATTCTGTTAGGATAAGAATGCTCCACATTTAAGCAATCATGTTGCATGCACTGACTAATACTAAGCTATTAGGTTTTGGTGAAGAAAAACCACTTGCTCTTTCACTGCTCATTCTTAAAAGTTATTCAAAAAATTTAACATCGGAATCACAGGAAATCAGTTTTCCAATCAAAGGAAAATGGAGGTGGACTCAATCTACTCAAAATTCAGCTCAAGCATCATCTTCTCCAGGAAGTCTCCTTGAACCCATTGACCTCCCCTCTCCTTTTTTTCACACAGAACTCTCCTTTCTGTTCTCACAGGAACTGTTATACATTTTATAATACTCATCCCTGAAAGTGGACGTCTCATCAGGCTCTGAACTCCAGGATATGACTGTGTACCTACCACATAGGAGACCAGTAAGTAATGGCCGAATAAATAAAACAATTTTTTGAAAGTGCAGGAATACCATTATATATATATATATAAGAATAATATTTCCATTACATAAGGTAGATAAAATATATCAGTCTCACACAGTAGCTAGCAATATGCTTCTTTAGTAAACTCAGAAGGACCTTCTATGGTGTCAGAAGTTAGACAAAGAGTAAGAGTTACAAAATTTTTTGAGAAAGGCAAAATTGTTACTTACAAATAATAAGTGCTACCTGAAAAGCCCAAAAGAATCCAGTGAAAAATGATTATATACAACAAGGGAATTGAGTAAGGTGGCTGGGTACCTAACTAAAATACTTAGATCAACAGCCTTCAGAATTACGTTACCAACTAGCGGAAAGACATAATGGAAACAAAGTTTCTATTTATAATAGCAAGTAGAACAAAAAGCTGAAATATCTAGGAATAAGCTTAACAAGGAGTGCAGCACTGGCATTAAAGAACAAAACTGGCAAAACCTTTAAATGTACTGAAAAAATAAAAGTAGAATGGAGTTGTATACCATGTTCTTACATTGGAAGGCAACATCATAAAGCTAATCTATAAATTTAAAGTGAACTCAATACCAGTTATTTCTGAAATACACAACTGATTCTGAAGCTCATATGGAAAAATAAATAAGCAAGAACAGCCAGGAGAATCCTAAAACAAGAACGAACCTTGTCAGAAACTGTCAATATTTTTTAACCTGTTACATACTTTTATGGTAAGTATTTACAAACTATTCAAAACATTAAGAAATTATACATGGTATTTACCAATATTCTTAAAGACAAAAAAATGCTTAGGTACAATGCTAAGCAGTGGGGAAAACAGCACACAAAATTTCATAATCAGCATATCTTCAGCTATGTAAACGTTTATGTGAACAAGAGGGGGGAATGCATTATCTTTGGAAGGTTTTTGGCCCAATTCTCAACTTTTCTGGAATTCTCAAATAACTTTTATGGTCTGAAAAAGATAAAATTTGTAATTACTATTTTAATAGTTGTTTTGTATGCAAATCATTTCTTTTTTTTTTTTTTTTAAGATTTTATTTATTTGAGACAGAGAGAATGAGAGACAGAGAACATGAGAGGGAGGAGGGTCAGAGGGAGAAGCAGACTCCCTGCCGAGCAGGGAGCCCGATGCGGGACTCGATCCCGGGACTCCAGGATCATGACCTGAGCCGAAGGCAGTCACTTAACCAACTGAGCCACCCAGGCGCCCGCAAATCATTTCTTCATGGATATACAAAGGATAAAGTTTAGTATATCTTGGTTTCTTATTGAATTGGATTTTAATTTTATATTTGTTAAAGGCGTACAAATTTTATAACTTGAAATAAACCAATAAATGAACTCTAAATTCTATATAGAAAACAGTAAGTTTTTCACAATGTTTATCTTTCAAAGATATTTTGAACATGTATGTGACTATATTAATATAGTACCTGATAACAACCTCATGAAATACAAAGCACAGATTTCTTGCCAGCCAACATACGAAACCTGTATCTAGTAACTACTCTGTCTGGACCATGAGGCTAGACACAGGATTAAAAAGGTACATAGCACAGGATTCCTTCCCTCCAGGAGTCTGTAGCTAACAACAATAACTGATATTCACTGAAGGCTTATTTTAATTATTTTATTCTCATATATTTGAGGTAGGTGTTACTAATACCTGTATTTTATATATGAGACAACTGAGGCATACAGCAGTTATAATCAACTTAGAACAGGACATATATTTTAAAAATAACTAGCAATTCTTTGTAGCATGTACTGAGTGGCGACTGAACCATACTGGCAAAAAATGCTGTTTTCATAAAGAAAAATCAGGAAAAGCTTCAAGGAGAAAGCAAGGACTGAGTGAAGTCAAGAAAGGGCACAATTAGGTTGGCAAATAGAGAGCAGGCTCCAGAAGAGACAAAAGCATGGAAAACATCCTCACAAAATCAGGAATTTGCATGTTTAAGGAATAATGAGCAGGCTTATTGTATTAAGCAAAGGACTGATGTAGTAGCGTGGCTGGAAAATCAGTTTGCAAAGTAGGTTTATCATGTTCCTAATGGAGTATCTAAATTTCACAATTTTGCGATGTGTACTTTTTCTTTCCCTGAAATGTCTAGTGAAAAAAAAATGCTGAAATGATATGATGTCTGGGATTGGTTTCTAAATAATTCATTATGTGTGGTGGGAGGTGTGGGGTTGATGATGAAATGCCGAGGATGTGAGGCTTCATTATACTCTTCTTTCTACCTTTGTATGTTTGAATTTTTATATAATAAAAGATTTTAAGAGGCACTTAAAGACATGCCTATTATTACAGAAGTGGGGTGTGTATATATACATTTATGTGTGAAACCATTTATAAATGAAAACCATTTACAAATGTGCAATATATGATACATACAACTTTGTTTCTGGGGTTTATAGACCCTAAAATTTAAACAAATAATCTTAGGTGGTAAAGTCTTTTAGATTCAAACAAGAATGTTTCAAAGCTATAGACATTAGCCTACCATTTCTTACCCTACTACCTAAGTATTCCTTTTAATGCTTAGCATCTGTTGTCCGCTGATATAAAATTTTCATCTCAGTTTTAAAAGAAACAGATGTTCCTATTCTTGTAGAAAAAATAATTGGGATTTTCAATAGGAAAACGTTATTAAAAAGGAAGAAGTTAAGAAAAAAAGCAAGCATAGTCGATCACAAAATAGAGGAAAAGATGATTTAAAAAAGATAATGGAAGTAAAATTCATTTACTGTTTAATTTTTTTCAGATCATGACATCCTTTTCAAGGTACTCTGTGTTTCTGCACAGGCCATCTATTTTTGCCTGCCTGGTGAACTGACTTAATCTTCGGGTTTCAACTCAAGAGTCATCTCCTCTGTGAAGTCTTCCCTGTCCCCACTTGCCATACGAAGCAGTCAGGATTGTAGTGCAGGTGTGTATCATAGAGAGCACCCATCAAACTGTATTGTAATGGTCTCCTCTATTTTACTGAGGTTCACATCGACCCCTTGTGCCTATTAAAATAGAGCACAGAAGTCACTGAAAAATGTTGAATGAACAGGAACTTGAAAACAACTGCAAATAATGAACATTTCAACAAATTCAAGAGCATACTTAAATTCCAAATTAACAATGCATGATATTAAAAAAATGTAGATTAGAGTGCTGAATATTTGGCTAACTATTCAAGAGAAACTGCCACACATGGCTCTGCATTGATACTTACTTGTCAATGATATTTTGGAAAATGCAGACGGAAGAAACAAATACCCCCATGTTTATGTTAAGGGCCCAGGCTGGAGGGTAAAATAAAGGCCTGAGGTAATTCCCTCTCAACATTTCAATCTCCTTATATCACCAACTGGAATTCAGAGAAAGTTCTACCAAGAAGCCAGCTTCAAAGTACTTGCATATGGGACAATGAGTGTTTTTGACTCCACCTAATTTTTAAGAGATATACATCTTCCAGAGGTGTGGATGACCTGACCAAGCAGGCTAGCTGGCTGGCATCAAATTCCACAACCTCAATTCTCAAATCTAAGGTTTACCTACTTTTCAGTCAGGCAGTGCCAGGGAGTTTAACAAGTTTAGCTAACTATTAAATATCAAATAATGTACACTGCAACTAAGGAGTTATAAAATACAACTCATTCCTTCTGGAGGCTCTGGGAAAAGAATCTGTTTTCTTGCCTTCTCCAGTTTCTAGAGGCTGTCTGCAATCCTTAGCTAGTGACCCCTCATCCCACTGACCTTGATACTTCTTTTGTGACTATGATCCTATTGCCTCCCTCTTAAAGGGAAACTTGTGATGAATTGATCCCCCTCCCCATTCCAAATTTCTTAATCACATATGTCGGGTCTCTTTTGCCAAGTAAGATAACATATTTACAGGGTTTTATTTTTGTTTTTAGTGGGGGAGGGCATTCTGCTATACCAATGAACACTTCCGTTTTATTAAGAGGTATCCAATAACATTCCCTAGACTCTCTGGAGCACAGCCTCAAATATAATCAGAACGGTAACACTTGGGGTTGTGGAATACAGCAGCCTTGCCCTTTTGACGGTTACTCTCGCAGTTGTGTTCATTCTTCTAAAAAACTGCAATGGACATCCTAAACTGTTTTTCTCCAAAGGCCCCTTTTATTATCCCTCCACACTCCAGACCTATCTACTACTCATAGACTTTGATATGCTTCAAATAATTAGTACTATTATACTAAATTAAATTATGCAAACCAGAAAGAAATCAACTTGATGAGTCACTTTGTATAATCATTCTGAAGTAAATCACAATTTGTTAGGCCTTCTGAAATAACGAAAATAATTCACTTTCATCTGGCCACCACTACAGTAGATGAAATAATTTATCAGTGAATAGATGAAGATTTGTTGATGCAAAGCTTAGTGCTAAAACAAAAAACTACTTGCGATGTTAACACATCTTTTAAAAAACTCTCTACTCTCAAGTCAATCTGAAGTTAGGAATATTTTCAGATTCAATTTTTATCATTTTATCTATGAAGATACAATTTCTTGTTTTCAGTCACAAGTGAATGTTAAAACTATATTCATTAAGCTTGGTTATAAAGGCAAGAATTCAGCGTAAGGTTTTGTTTTTAGATGTATATATAAAAATAGTTTATGAAACCATCCAAAACATTACGAATAGAGAGAAAACAGGGGAAAGATCCCAGCAGTATAAAGGCACAAAGAAGCAATGAGAAAGGCAGCAGAAATATACATATTAATATGCTGAACAGTTGTCTGGAGTGCTCAGTGACTGGTTGCTAACTGTACTTAATCTACAGAAAAGACTAAGCCTACAGTCTTCATTAGTCCTGGATCACTTGAGCTCCCTACAGCTTATTTATTTATTTTTAGCATTATCAAAATAAACTGTTTAACCAATATGTGGATTAAGGGCCTTCTTTATGCGTAACACTGCATGGGAGCTTCAAATGTTGATTGCATCTTACGTGGAATTAACGGACATATTAATTCCTCGGTTTAACTGGAATTCACTTTAAAACAAGAATTGAATACCAAAGACTCACAATTTTTAAAACTCCAAATAGTAACAATTTTACTTGTTTTAAGACTTACGGCTTTTACACAAAACTAGTCATTTATCCCTCTCAGAAGGTAAAAGGACCCAGAAATGATATTCCTGACCTAATTGTGATAAAAACTATACAGTACTGCAAAAGTAGGTCAGCATTTTATCACATACAAATCTAGGTCAGACCAGCATTTTCCAACTAGTTTCTACTTGTAAATTTATATGTACCACTCTTTTCTCTTAAAATGGAAAACATGGAAATGCAGGGATAAATGAAGCCTGTATATAAATGTGCAAACACACCCCTCCCCACTTGCCCAAGATAAATGACCACAGGTGATTAATATTTCCATTAACACACAGAAATACTGACATTTTATTTTGGTGTTATTAGCACCTAAGTTCAACCTTTGTTGCTTACTGTAAGGCAGCACTGAAATTGTACCCCATATGCAAATTATCTTGGTTTAATTTGAAACCAAGAAACCAGGATTACTTAATGTCTTGATGTTAAAAACCTCTTAACATCAGTGGCCATTAAACATTTGCATTATTTAGGAAGTAATCCAGTATATTAATTTGTCCTTGGATAAATCTGCACCTCTATATTATTAGTTTAATTTCACTTGTAAAATGAGGAGCTGGACTAAATAGCCATTTGATCTCATTGGTCCTGTTTCAAAAATGTAGACCTTTTCTATTTAACCTTTCCACTTAAAATTAAGAACTTTCATGACTATGAGAAAAGGTACAGTTCAGAGTAGAAGCACCTCACTGCAGTGTTCTCCCCTGGCAATATAGGTGGTCATTTGCACTTATTTTCATCTCATTGTCATGGTATCTATAATGTATTTGCTGTGTTTGTGTTGCTTAGTTTCAGAGCGATTTTATAGACACCAGAGATCTAAATATAAAACAAGGGGATCAAAGGTGTTAATAGGAGAAAGTATACATAGAACCATGATAAGCAGACTTAAAAAAAATATGAAGGAATAATACTTTACATGTTGATAATTTGATAAGACAAAAGTATTCCAAAGGGCAAACTGCAAATCCTGTTATGAAGAAAAGTGTTCTGACCATGCAATTGGAAATGACAAAGATTGATAAAAGGGAAAAACTTTTCAATATTTGGAGTCAAATGTGGTATGAAGCCTGGCTGTTCATAAGAATCACTTGAAGCTTTTGGGCGCCTGGGTGGCTCAGTCAGTTAAGTGTCTATCTTTGGCTCAGGTCATGATCCCATGGTTCTGGAATCGAGTCCCACATTGTTGGGCTCCTCCCTCTGCCCCTCCCCCCACTCATTCTCTCAATCTTTCTCTCTCTCAAATAATAAATAAAATCTAAAAAAAAAGAATCACTTGAAGCTTTTAAAAACTATCGATGCCCAGAAATTTGGACTGAATTGGTTGGCCATCTCATTTCTCAGAGCTCTTTCCACTACACATGTTGTTTCTCTTTATCATAACAGAAAACACGTGGAATTTACTTATTTAATAATCTCCTTCAGTGGACTGTGAAGTCCTTAAAGACACTTAGCATATTTTACATGACTCTGTTTCCCCAGATGTGCAATCCTTTGAGTACTAACTCTACCTGTCATTGTGAGGTAGATATTAGAAGACCTGGTCTCTACTTTAGAAAACTCCAGCTAGAGAGGGAGGAAATATATGCAACAATGTATTGCTGTTTTTTTGTGGTAAGTGCTATGGCTGGAGGTACACTGGAGGTATATACATGGACTGTGGATGCCCAAATGGAGACCCAGGAGAAGAAAATAGAAGGGGTAGGGAAGGATTTTTGGGAAGAGATGAAACTTGAGATAAATCTTGAAGGATACTAAGAGGGAGAACAAGGCACTCTGAAGTTCTTAAAAGTTTAAATACTGTTAATCTTAAACACAGTATCTGTCTTGCTATTAGCTAGTTGATAAGACACTAAGATGATGAAAATGGATCTTTGACTTGTACTATGAGTAGAATAAACTTCAGCATCTAGGAAGAAGTACAAGAATTAAGAGTGACAATTTCTAGGGGCACCTGGCTGGCTCAGTCAGTAGAGCATGTTTCTTGTTGCAGATAGAGATTACTTAAAAAAAGAAAAAGTAACAGTCTCTATTCTTTTTAAATTGAAAAAGGAATCAAATTCTCTAAGTTAAGTAATAGTTCTCTAATGACACTCTTTAAGAGCAAGTATACTCATCCGATCGTGTGATAGGTAGGCAAAGAAGCTGGAGTACATTCTTGGCTAGGAAAGGAATAACCTGTCAATAGACTGCCATTTTCTCTGTAAGTTCTCCAGGAAAGACGCTGTGACTTATGCCCCATTTATAATCAAAGTAGTTGGGCTAAAGCAAGAAACAAATGAGTTTTCGATTAAATGTCTAAGGGTTTAGTGTTGTATGGGGTACTGCAGGAACCTCTGGAAACATAAGCTCAGTAACTTTCACCCCACAATAGCTTTTTTGGGGGTCATGTTTGTTTTTGATGCTATAATCATCCTTTCCCCAGAAACATGCTTATAAATGCAACATTTGGCCCGTGGATTTCATTAAGTTCACCCGGTGTACAGACGGTTGGCATTTACTATAACAAAGGTAAAAGGGCTTCAGACAGCTTGGGAGATTTCAGTATTACTACTACTGTATCTGTCCTCCGGCCATGCTGGCTCTACCTTTTTTTCCTCTGCCTGAAAACGTAGGCGTTTCTTTTGAAAACTTTTCATGACTCATTTTAAATTTTCCTAAGAGGCCCAAACTACCAAAGAATCTGCAATAACACAAAATCATAAATACAACCGTAAAAATGTGTGGGGAAGGAAGGTCCGAGGCCAAACGCAACCCCAAGTACATTCCTAGAAGAAAAACCACTTCTCCAGAGATCGCCAATGTTTAAAATCTAGTTTGTAGAGTAGGAAGAGCCTGAAAGGTCACTAACTCAACAGACGAAAATTAAGAGGTGGAGCCTGGGGTTTCTAAAGACAACAATGAAACACCTGGGCCAGGCCCTCAGACATTAGAGGACGCGAAATAACAAGCGCAAACTCAAGAAGCTCCATGCCTCCAAGGGTCAATGACCATAGAGAGTATGTAAAAACGATTGGGTTAAGTCAACCAGCGCACTTCTTCGAAACAAGTCAGAAAGGTGGAGTGTGCGGGAGGCGCTGGGACCTGCGACCGCGGGGTCTCTCGGGCGGTGGGCCCTGGTTCTCCCTGGCTGGGCGTGCAGGGGCCACATGGTTTCCGGGTCTGAGCATCTTCCGAGCCCCGGCAGAATCAAGCTAGTGACAGGGCTCCCTGGCCCGCGCACCGAGGGCCGCCGCCCAACCCTCCAGCCCTAGCTCGCGCCCACAGCCCCTTCACAAAGCCAGGCTGCGACCCCACCGCCCCAATTCTTACCATAGTGAGGCCGGCGAAGCCCCAGCCACATCACCCTTCCGGGCCCAGGGCGGAAGAGGCGTGCCCGCCCCGCCTGCCCTTCTCGCTCCCTCCCCGCGTCCGGTTGGGCCTGTCAGGGTACCTCCTCCCGAGCCGCGCGATCCGGACACGAGGATAGGCTCCTCGCAACCGGAAAAGGCAGGAGCTAAAAGACGTCAGGCGTCCTTGCGGAAGTGGACGACGCTCTCATTGGCTGCGGGACGTCTGGCTGCGGGAGCGGGCCTTTTGGAGGAGACCGGAAGTGGAGGAACTGAGAGGTAGGGTCCGGAAGCGTGAGCTGCGTATTTTAGTAATAGTAAATTAGTGAGAGTAATAGTCCTTTGTTTTGTCCTTGTTTTGTTTTTCTTTCTTACTTTCGTTTTTTTTTTTTAGTTCCCTATTATTTCCCTTTAGAATTCCTCAGTGCATGATTTTTCCCAGCTCGGATCCCCCTCAATGTGTAAGCTCCTGGACCTTCCGTTTTTGCACTCTCGGACGCCTGGGTTCCCTAAACTTACGTGCAGGATGTGCACCTGCTACACCCCCTCTTCAGTTTCTCCGTTTGCACCTGAGGGATTCTCTAGAATGCAGAGCGCCTTTGAAGTGCCCTGTAATGGTTGTGGAAGTAGTAAGACACTTGAATCCGGAGGGTTGTGTTGAGTAGGCTGTTGGACAATTCTGACGCAGGCCTTCTCTCTCTTTTTCTCTCTCTCTCTCTCTCTCTCTCCCCCCCTCTCCCCCTCTCTCCCCCTCCCTCCCCCAATCCCTCGCTCTTTGTAAACTGTCTATGGGTTTCACCTGGGGCCTGAAGCGTACTAGGCCCTTTTGGGTAAGGGATGAACTTTCTGTAGTAACAAATGGAAAGAAACTGCCCTTTCCTAAGTTGAATAGTTGCATAGGTATTCTAGAGAAGTGGTCCATCAGCGAAAGGAATTACATGCCAACTTTCTCTTTTAATCAGTAGTATTATTATTTAGCTTCTTTCAGTTTTGATAATCCCATTAGATGAGGGTTTATTTTCCACCCGATTTTGTCTTTGCATAATCCAAATGGAGAAACAGGTGTTTTGACGTGTTCAGTTCGCATAGTTATTGGGAACTCAGTATAAGGTTTTTGAATTAAAGTGGTATTGCTTTTTTACCACTAGTCAGCCTCCCTCATCCCCCACCCCCTTTCACTTTGTATCTAGTGTTGATAATGTTAATGGTTTCCTTTTGTATGATTTCCTTTTTTTTTTTTTAAATTCACTGATGGTCACACATATATTAAAAGGTAATGGTTTTACTTAACTGCTTGTTTTCTCTAATCCTCAGCTAGCCTCTGTAGTTTAAGATTAAGGCTGTTTGTGTTCTAAGTTTTGTCTTTGTCCTTCTTCTCCCCTTCCCCCTGTTTTTTATATGCTTTCCCTGTGGCTCTTAGATTAAGACCCATTTTTGACCTTAATGTTATTTCTTTTACTTTATGAACTGCTTCTCTTAACCTTTCTCCACTTCTAACCCCATTTATTGCTCTTCTGAACAAAAATCCTCTAAGGATTTTATGTTCCAAATCCCAATTCCTCTTTTTCTATTCTTTCTATTCATTCTTTCAGCATGGTTTTTCTCCCACCCTTTCTCAAAATCCTCTTAGTGTCACCAGTGGTCTCCAGGTGTTGATTATTCCCAGTCTTTTTCCTGTTTGAGCTATCAGCAACCTTTGGCGCAGTTAATCACTTCCTTCTTCATGATGTATTTTCTTCACTTCATTTCCAGGACATCACACTCTCTTGGTTTTCCTTCTACCTCACTGGTTCCTTCTGTATTCCTTCTGTTCTTCATGATCTCTTATTGTTGAGTGTTCCAGGGCTCAATCTTTGCTTCTCTTCTTTTCCTCTTTCTTTACTTCCTTTTGATTATATCAAATCTTAATGACTTTAAATAACCATCTGTATACTGAAGCCTCCCGAGTTCATATTCTTAGTTCCCTCTCTTTCTGAACGCCAGACGTTAATATTAGAGGAAACTGGGTGAGATGTATATGGGAACTCTGTGTTATCTTTGCAGCTTTCCTGTAAATTCAGTATTACTCCAAAATAAAAAGTTTATTAGAAGGAATGTAACATTACTTCTTTGCTTAAAAACATTCACGATAAAAGCTGACATCCTGACATTGGCCTACAAAACTACATGATCTGGTTTCCTATTACCTCCTTGACTTCAGCCTTTGTGTCCTCTCCCCTCACTCTGTCCCAGCCATACTGGCTTCCTTGTTTCTTAAATACACCAAGCCCACTTCTGCCCTAGGGCCTTTGCACTGGCTGCTTCATCTGCTTGGAATGCTTTTTCCCAGACATCCACACAACTGATCTTTATGTATGTGCTCAAATATCACCTTTTCAATAAAGCTTACCTCAACCTCCTATTTAAAATTGCAGCTTTGCAACTCTCCCCCTTTCCCCCACTGGCCTCTGTACTCCCAGTTTTCTCTATCCTGTGTTATCTTCTCTTTTTACTCTAGCACTTATCACCTTACTATGTATTTTACATACTTATTACGTGGTTTTTCATTTTTGATCTATTAAAATACAGGAAAGAATTGTTATCTGTTTTGTTTCCTTATGCCAAGTTCTAAAGCACTGTCTGATGCACAGAAGTGCACGTGCTTTGGTTGAATGAATGAACTCTACTGGGTATTTGAATTTAGTCACCCTTGATTGGCAGTCATTGTGAAACATTGAATTGTTTATCGTGTCCAGGTATTATGCTGTTTCTTGCCTCCAAGCCTTTCATCATGCAGGGTCTTCTGCATGGAATGCCTTTTCTTATCTCTTTCCTTTTCACCTTTTAAGGTTCATATCAGGTGTAGCTCAGGGAAGCCTTCCCTGAAATGTCAGGCTGGCTTAAGTGAACTCTTGAGAGGAGGTATCACCCTGCCTCTGCACTTTACAAGCTTGTAAAATAATTATTTTTGGGTGTTTTTATCTCACTCGAGAGGTGGGAATGTGTCTTAACTCATTCTGGGGATATCAAAGCCTGGTACATAGGAAGCAGTCAGTGAATGTTTTTAATGCATTAATAGCATGACCAAAGTCACTCAGCTATGAAGCAGTAGAGTTTTGATCTCAAGCTGACTCTTTGAGTATAAAACCGATGGTCTATTTGCTATACCTTGTTTTCTAGGAAAAGGTGGCTGTCCTTAAAATAATAGAAGGATAGTTTTTATACAGGTAGGAGGTAGTTAATGCATTTTATAGTCCAGGGCAATTTGTTCCTTGTCATTTGTGAAGCTGCCAGCGCTGATGAGAACATGAGTTGTGCTTTTTTTTCCTAAGACATTGGCTGAAATAGATGAACAGAGGGTTATTATAGTCAGCAGTTTTTAATGTTGATGAGACGGGGCTCTTTTTGGAAGAACACCCTTGAGACTTTTGTTGCCTCAAAGGGGAAATCCATGCTGGAATTCCAAACTGCTCATGAGACATCCGTGCTTTTGCTAGCTGCCAGTCCTGCCAATAGCTTTAAAGTAAACTTTTGGTTGTGTGCCATTGGGGAATCCTGGGCTGTTTTCAAGATATTGTGAAGATTTTTCTCACAATGATATGGAAATTTGTTGTTAAGGTTGAGTTAAAGATAATTAGTTTGTTAACATAATTTCTGATACTTGGCACAAAAATTAGGTAAAGTAATTCTGTATTTAAAACAGTTTAATTGTAGATAATGAACCAGACCTCAAACTACCTTTTATGGTAAACATTCTGAATTTAAACTGTCCCCTGAATATTATCATCATTGTTGTAGTCCGTAAACCAATCTTTTTTGTAATGCTGGATAGCCTTTAGGACTAACAGAAAAGGAAATAATCTGACTATAAATTCTGAAAAGGCCTCAGCGGTTTTCGGCTGCAGCAGTGGGGTTGAAAATGATGATTAGGCTTGGGATCAAGTAATCAAAAACGACTATTCCTAAATTTGTGCCTTGTTTCTTTGAACTTTACTAACCCTGTAAAAGTGTCCAAAATGTTGAAATAAGCCAGAAAGTCAATCTGGTCTTTGTGTGAGAGGATGCTGTTGAATAAAGAAAGACCTTGCTCAACTGGAACAGAAGTGGCTGCTAAGAAATAAGATGCAGCCATTGTTGAGGAGACTCATCAAAGTGTTGGCAGTATAAATATTGACATGCTGAGATATGTCAATATTTACCATGGAATTTGGAAGTTGCCAAGTTCCTGTTTAAGAAATGTGACACTAGCATTGAACACAGTATATCAATAAATAAGGAACATGTCCAATGAACAGCTGCTCAGAGAAAGTAGGATAACATCTGTCTAAACTCTGGAGCACTTAAAGTCGAATTTAAAAAATTTATTGACAGTTCTTTGTTAATTTGTAGGTAGATGCTTGTATAACAGTATCCTAATATAGTTCCATTTGTGGGCTTAACTTATGTGTTTTTAAAAAATGACAGCATGGTTGCAATTTATAATTTCGTAAATTACTTGTGCAATGATACTCATCTATAAATTGAATAAAAAACTCTTGCCTTAATCCTGTGTTTAGGAACCAACCTCATCATTTTACGTATTATTCTTACAAAAATTGGCTCAACTCAAGACTCAGAAATTACTTTTGGGAACCAAAAGTTTATGCTCTGAGAATTTAGCAATAGAGAAAACAAAATAAGTTTCTGAAGTTTAAATGTGATAAGAAGATTTGTTCTGATTATTTGACAGCTGTATCTCAGAAGAAAATGAGTGGATTAAAGAGCAAGTAAAGTTGGTATGTTTGGTTGAATATCACAGATCACCACTTTTAATTCCCATATGAATATCACTGTAATAGAGCATTTGATGCAAAATAAAGACACATTTGAAGGTTTTTTATCAAGTCATTGGAACCATACAGTCTTACATCTGTTTTGCACACGTCTAGAAGAAGGTTAAACTGAGCATTGTTTGAATGATAGTCCTAAAACAGTCCTAGAAGAGCATAAACCATGAGTATCAGGACTGGTCCTCTCATTGCTTTTCTAATAACAGAGACTGATGGCTTTTATATAGTAATCTAGTTGTTTAACCACATCACACTCTTAAGTTTATATTATGAAGAATGGATGCAAAGTATAGTTGAGGTCATATGTTCGGCCAGGAGCTACATTTATTGCTATAAATATTTTATAAACAAATTTTCAAATATGAAAAACAAATTGCATTAGAGGTTCATAAAAGGCTTTTAATGTATTTTTTTTAGTATATTAAGGATGGAAGGGAAAGAAACAATTTTAAAATTTAAATTGATTGGAGC